ATGAGATCCTGCAGTGAGCTCACGGCAGAGGAATGTGTGAGGCCTGCAGAGAGAACGGAAAACATTCGCCGTGTGGTAACAGTTAGCTCAGAGACGCTGCGCGGCTAAATTACTGACAGCCATGGAAGCTCATTATTACCTGTTCAGCTTCACTTTCACTCAGTTATTTTCCCTGCAGGCCGTTTCACACAGATGTTGTTAAAGACGCCTGGAGTTAGCTGCTGATTTGCAGAGAGAACCCAGAAATGATGAATTATTTAATGGAATATTGGTATAAGAACAGAGAGCTGTTTTCCAGAGCTACATTTGACCAGAATGTCAGGTTTATTTAAACTTTTACCTGTTTGGCACTAAGAATCGTTCATGAAGGCATGGTGCAGAGAAAAGATCATCAGTTTGCAGCATCCCGCCTGTTTTAAACCCAACATCTCAGGAACCGTTAGCCTCAAACTTTAATTTATCCACTTTTCTGTAAAACTTCTCTGAATAATGCTTTAGTGCATGAGAGCGATCCGTTACATCCTCTCTACCATTTTCTTCTTAAAGCTATAGAGGACGATCTCTTATTTCCGGGTGGAACATCTCAATAAGTGGTCCTCCTAACTGTCAATCATTCATGCGATGAGTCCATCCTACATGTTCGTCCCGTTAGCGATATTTTTCTGCGCTCTTTCAGGCGTATATCTGTGGTGAGCTACGGTTTCAGACAGTCATTGAAGCTCACCTTTCTCACCGCGGTTCTTTGAAAATGGACAATGGTCGTAAGAGAAAAAGTATCTATGAAGTGAATAAGAAGAAAAGAAAGGCCTCAGAAGAGGCAGATATATCCCAGAATGCTTTGCAGGGAGAGCTCTCCTCACAAAGCATTATGGGAATTGCTGTCACTGCGGCCCGCTGTCACTAACCGACACCGGCGACTAATAACAAAGATGGCGCAGGCACGGCGCGGTGGAGGAGGAGTTAAGTGACCAAAGGAGCAAAAAGCAGTGATCATCTGTCTGAACGGTCAGTTAACTGAGTTCACTATAAAGTTCACTAAATATTCCCCGCTCTATATAGTGATGGTGGGATTTAGAGGTTATGGCGGCCGTTTGGACACAGTTGGCTGGTATGAGCAATGAGAACAGCAACTTTTAAACAGAGCGTGCACCAGGAGAAATGGTCTTGTGCACACTCTCACACGTGTTTAATAGACCTTCCCTAGAGAGGGTACAGGGTTGTGCATGTGCATTTTTTTAAAATGCTGGTCTTTTAAAAAAACTCATCGAAATCCTGCACAAACCCTTCAAATGCCCCATGTGTGTATATATCATGTAAAACTGTAACTAGAGCGTGTAACAAAAGTAATTTCCCTCTGGGATTATTAAAGTATTTCTAATTCTGATTTTGATCTGTTTATTTTCATGGTGTATCAGATTGTTTCCAATAATAATCCCATTTCTGGTCCTGTTTATCTGCAGCATCTGTGCAGCATGGTGATCTTTGCTGTTCTAAAGTAGATCAACATACTAGGGAAGCACGATATTGGGATTTTGGCCGATATCCGATATGCCGATATTTTAAAACTCATGTAGCCGATA